CCAGCCCCTACTGTCACTGATCCCCAGGATGACTTACTGATGGCTGAGCACCTCAGCTATACCATCCTTTGTATACTCATTTCCCTGTGTCAGATTCCTTCTGCTGCACGGCCTACGAGGTTTTGCTTACTTGACTGGACCAGATGTGGTGATACTTGGCAAGATAACACTATCCTTTCTTTGAGGAGAGGGAGCACCACGATGACCTGACTCTCAGCTGAGTCCCCTCGGGATCAAGGACATCTTGAGTCACTTTAAGGGGTAACATTATTTTTATTTGTTTGTTTTTGCTTATGTGTGTGTTTGTCTCTGTGTGTATATGTGCACCATATGTATGCAGTGCTCCTGGAGGCCAGGAGAGGGTACCAGATCCCCTGAGCTGGAGTCACAGTAGTTGTGAGCTGACATGTGGTTGCTGGGAACCGAACTAGGACCCTCTTAACTGCTGGTCCAGCTCTCCAGTCCTGACATGAAATTCTTAGTAACTAAATTGGGAGAGCATATTTAACTTTCATTTCACACACGGCATGCCAGTGCTGTCAGGGAAGCTCTCATGTCATTAAACTCCAGACTTAGGAAGCATGGTCCCAGAAGAAGGAGCTTTGTTACAGCAGAAAGTCAATGAAGACTTTTCGTGCTTTAGTCGGACCTCACAGGCAGGTAGCCAATAGTTTATTTTTTAAAACACATTGTGTGTGTGTGTGTGTGTGTGTGTGTGTGTGTGTGTGTGTGTGTGTGTGTTGTATATGTGGTGCATGTGGGAGTGTGTGTAGGTGTGTGCTGTGTGTGTAGTATGGTATGTGTGTGATATATGTATGTGTATGTTGTGTGTGTGGGTTATGTTGTGTGTATGTGTGTAGTGATGGGGTGTGTGTGTGATATATATATATATATATATGGTGTGTGGGGGGTGTATGTGGGGGGGTATGTTGTGTGTATGTGTGTAGTGATGGGGTGTGTGTGTGATATATATATATATATATATATATATATATATATATATATATATGGTGTGGGGGGGTGTATGTGTGGGGTGTGTTGTGTGTATGTGTGTAGTGATGGGGTGTGTGTGTGATATATATATATATATATATATATATATATGGTGTGGGGGGGTGTATGTGTGGGGTGTGTTGTGTGTATGTGTGTAGTGATGGGGTGTGTGTGTATGGTGTGTGTATATGGTGTGTGTGGGGGGTGCGTGTATGTCACAGCGAGAAGATGGCAGTCAAAGAAGAACTTGCAAGCATCACTCTCCCCTTCCACCCTGAGTCCAGGATTAAACTCAGACATTAGACATGGCAGCAAGCCTCGTTATCGGCCGAGCCATGATGCCAGCCTCAATACACAGCAGTTCAAAGAGACCTGCTTCCTTTTTTCTTTACCAATTCCCTTTTGAGAGAGAGTTGGTGATGTGGCATTGTGTCTTTAGAAAGATCTTACAGAACATCGTCTTCTTTTTGAGACATGGTCTCTAAAAGGTAGAAATAAAATGCAAGCAAACAAATCAGAACATGAGCCTGTTTGTCTTCCAAGAGGGAAAGAAAGGGCTTGACCAGTGGTGTGGAGGTCAGGAGCCTTGGAAGAGTTCAGGGGAGGGGAAATTGTAATCAGAATATATCATATGACAAAATCAATTTTCAACAAAAATAAGATAAAATAAAGACATGGCCTCATGCATCTCCAGACTGGCTTTGTATCTACCATGTAGCCAAGGATGGTTTTGCACTTAGGATCCTCCTGCCTCTACCTCCCAGTGTGGATATTACAGGTGCGCAACTCAATGCTCAGTCTGTGTCGTGCCAGGGGCGGAACCCAGGCAGTCACACATGCTGGACAAGCTCTCCAGGACTGAGCCGCATCCCCAGCCCAGCTCTACTTCTCATTTAAAAATGGAGCCCACTAGTGCCTCCTCAGCCTGGTCTACGGTCTGCATCACAGAAACCTTAACCACCCAGAACAGAGCCCAGCTCCACAGCTCATAGTCACAGAGAAACAGAGCCCGGCTCCACAGCTCACAGTCACAGAGAAATAGAGCACAGCTCCACAGCTCACAGTCACAGAGAAACAGAGCCTGGCTCCACAGCTTACAGTCACAGAGAAACAGAGCCTGGCTCCACAGCTCACAATCACAGAGAAACAGAGCCCAGTTCCACAGCTCACTGTCACAGAGAAACAGAGCCCAGTTCCACAGCTCACAGTCACAGAGAAACAGAGCCCAGTTCCACAGTTCTCAGTCACAGAGAAACAGAGCACAGCTCCACAGCTCACAGTCACAGAGAAACAGAGCCCGGCTCCACAGCTCACAATCACAGAGAAACAGAGCCCAGCTCCACAGCTCACTGTCACAGAGAAACAGAGCCCAGTTCCACAGCTCACAGTCACAGAGAAACAGAGCCCAGTTCCACAGTTCTCAGTCACAGAGAAACAGAGCACAGCTCCACAGCTCACAGTCGCAGAGAAACAGAGCCCGGCTCCACAGCTCACAGTCACAGAGAAGCAGAGCCCGGCTCCACAGCTCACAGTCATAACGAATGACAACGTACCAAATCTCACTGCTGTGACAACACAAGCTTCTACAAAGTCCTGAGTGCCGGCTTTTGTGCCAAACACAAGTTTTGAACTGTAATACATGGGCCATGTACTTACAAAAGAAGAGACGTCATGCTGGCATGACAGACACTGGTGCCTAAAGCAACATGAGTATAATACAGGGGATGCTTCTCAAATCCCTTTCAGATCTGAGACCCACCGCTCAGAGCATCGGTGTATGTAATGTGAAACGGCACACTCAGTCTGCAGCCCCTTCTCAGCAGCTGGCCTGGGACAGGCATTCCCAGCCTCGTGGGGTTCTGGCCCTTATTTCCTCAAAGCCCAGGCACCAGAGATGCTGCCAGCCTGGACCCACTTCCCATGGAGAACCTCCTCTCTTCACCGGTACCTCGGTGTGGTTTCCGACCTTCCCAGCAGACCAAAGCAGGCTCTGAGCTGGACAGAGAACTCGATGGTTTCTCTGTTGAAAAGAGAAGCAGGTCTGTGCTTACTGATGGAGCTCTGCTTCGGTGAGTGCCTCTGTCCTCAACTCCCCGGTGGCCACGGCCAGCTCCTCCTTCAGATCTGCAATCTCCTTCTGCAAGCGGACAATCATCTGTGCAGGGAAAAGCGGGAGAGCACACGTCCAGTTCTGGTCAACGCGACCTCGGTGGCAGCAAACATGCGGCTTTCAAAGTTATGAGGCATTGATGTGCAAGGTGGCTCAATGGTTAGGGGACAGGCCTGACTCACATGTTCAACCCCTGGGACCCAGACACACGTGGTGGAAGAAGAGAACTGACTCCCACATACTGTCCTCTGAACTCTACATGTGTATTAAGTGAGCAGACACGGGTGATTAATTAATTGAAATTATTAACTGTTCTAGGATACGAAACTGGATAGAGAACAATCTAAAAGGCATTAGTGCCACTAACATCAACGTTTGGTCTAAATAACTCTACAACTATTTTTTTTTTTTTTTTTTTTTTGGTTTTTCGAGACAGGGTTTCTCTGTGTAGCTTTGCGCCTTTCCTGGAACTCACTTGGTAGTCCAGGCTGGCCTCGAACTCACAGAGATCCGCCTGGCTCTGCCTCCCGAGTGCTGGGATTAAAGGCGTGCGCCACCACCGCCCGGCTACAACTATTTTTTTAAATGAATAAAACATTACAGATATAACTTGAGACATCTCTCTATGTTCCCCTTCTGTCCTTCCTGGGGTGTGCTATAATGAAGTTAGGAGTTATCCAAATGCCTCCCTCTACTGTCATATGCGTACTCTATATGCATGCTCCTTAAGTAATTACACCGTCATTTACATGCCTTAAACCACTACCGCATGTAACTGCACCTTGTTCTCTTTTTCTTTCTCGTGATTTCAGCTCATTTATCTTAGTTTATGCAGCTCTTCATCACGAATTTTCAAGGGCATATAATATTCCAATAAAATACACCCAAATTTATTGGAGTTAAGGAGATGGCTCAGTCTGTAAGCTGTCTGCCTTGCACAAGGGCGTGAGTGACCCCAGAATCCGGGAGGAAAAGGCAGATGGTGCGGCGTGGGACCTCGTGCTGTGGAGGCGGATCCCCGCAGTTGGGTCGATGAGCTTCAGGCCAGTGAGAGACTGTGTGTGTGCATGCGAGTGAGTGTGTGTGCACGTGTATGTGTGAGTGTGCATGTGTCTGTGCGCCTGTGCAGGTAAGAGTGCTTACAGCACAGACCTGAGGACCTGAGCATCAATCTCGTCTCCCACTTAGAGCTCAGGCCCCGGACAGGGACGCCTGCCACACCAGAACTGAGTGGAGGGGTAGTGACCAGGGCGGAGGGGCCACCAGTCCTTATCAGGGCAGGGGAACCCTCCCTCAAGGGCATACAGCAGACAGTGATAGAACAGCACAACCAATGTCCTTGTCTGGTGTCTGTGAACACATGCACACACACACACACACACACACACACACACACACACACACACACACACACACACACACACGTGGATGGTGCTCCTGGAAAGGGAAAGAGTGGCAGGGAGGCAGGAGAGTTGATATTTACTTAGTTATTTAATTGGTTGGTTAGGTTTGGTAACTAAAATTTTCAAGGATACAGCCTGCCAATGTTTGTTTATCAAGTTCATATTATAACCACATGATCATTAGTAGGGTACTTAATATTATGACCTGGTTGGACTTACTTCAGAAGTTAAAGATAAACTGTAATTTAAAAAAATATATAAATGAGCACTGAAATTTTTAAAGAAATGGAAGGCTGCATGGAATGAAAGCTTTAACAAGTCCAAGATGTCTTATTTCTTAAGATGAAGAAACATGGTATCCACTTAAGTAGTGGGGTCAGAGTTTTCTTTTGTACCTTTTTGCACATATGAAATAGTTCATCGGAAAGCTGATTAAAGGGATTACGATAATTCATCACACGTACAGTTTAAAAGGGAAACATTGAACAATCTTATCATTAGTTGGTTCCCAGTATATATGCACCTATGTTAGACCAACTGCCTGGATCTCCAGCTCTTCCAGACTCCCCCGGGCACTGCACTCACACACACACACACACACACACACACACACACACACACACACACACACACACACGACAAATCTCTTTCTAAAACTAGTTCTTGATACTATCAAGAATTCATTGACACACTTTAAAGACTCAGTCAAGCTGAAGGTAGACAAACATCTTTAAGTTGGAGAGTGTCAATGAAAAAGTTACAGTAAACCTTTATTTTAGCAATGAGTGGTAGAAAGAGTAAGTCAAGGATGTCTTTCAAATTCCACTGAAATTCTTGGCTAGGCCGAGGAGACAATGAAAGGCCACCTGCCCACACTTGCAGATCTTGTTGTTGTCTATACAGAACACCCAACAGTATTTCAGGATAAATGGAACCAAAATTTAATAAGAAATTTATTTGGTCCATAATCCATTCATAAGTTTCCTTCCAATACACCAGAAACCAACGATTATAAAATGTAATTTTCCTTCCTTCTACACTTAGAGTATCCACGAATCCTTTGCCCTCCTGCTACATGATCTAAAAACACACCTGTCCTAGTTAGGATTAGTATTGCTGTGATAAAACACCATGACCAAAACCAAATTTTAAAAAAGGGTTTATTTTGGGCTGGAGAGATGGCTTAGAGGTTAAGAGCATGGGCTGCTCTTCCAGAGGTTCTGAATTCAATTCCCAGCAACCACATGGCAGCTCACAACCATCTATGGTGAGATCTGGTGCCCTCTTATAGCATGTAGGCATACATGCAGGCAGAACACTGCATACAAAATAAATGAACCTTAAAAAGTAAAAAATAAATAAATAAATAAATAAAAGGGTTTATTTCACTCACAGTTCCACATAACAGTTCATCATCAACAGCCCTGAGGACAGGAACTCAGGTAGGGTAGGATCCTGGAGGCAGGAGCTGATGCAGAGGCCATGGAGGGAGCTGCTTACTGGCTTGTTCCTCATGACTTTCTCAGTTTGCTTTCTTATAGAACCCAGGACCACCAGCCCAGGGATGGCACCACCCACAGTGGGCTGCACCCCTCCCCCCACCATTAATCAGTAATTAAGAAACTACCCAATCTTAAGCCCAATCTTAAGATTTTCTTAATTGAGGCAGTTTTTTAATTGAGGCTCCCTCCTGGCAAAGGACTTTAGCTTGTGTCCAGTTGACAAAACTACCCAGCGCAACACCCCAGTATTAGTGAAAAGGTGGACATCTGTTTGGACCCATCCTTGAGAAACGGAGTCCCCAAACTAGCTAGGTTAACATCAGCGCTCCCCCCTCCCCCCTCCTGTCCCTTCCAGTAAGTTTGTTTATTCTCTCCTTTTCTTGGGGATTGCCGCTCAGGAGGCAGAGGCAGGTAGAGCTCTGCGAGTTCAAGACCAGTCTAATCTACACAGAGTTCCAGGCCAGCTAGGACACAGAGTGAGCCCTTATATCAAATAAAACAAAACAACAAACAAACAAGCAAACAACTTTAGATCAAGGGGCTGTGTGCATGTGAAATTCAAACCTATACGAAGGAGGGGTAAGGCTTTCAAACTCTCAAGGAAACTCTACTTGTGGGGCTGGAGAGCTGGTTCAGTGGGTGAGTCCTGCTCTTTCAGAGGACCTGAGTTTAGTTCCCAGCAACCAGAATAGATGGCTCACAACTGCCTATAATTCCAGTTCTAGGGGATCTGATGCCTTCTTCTGGCCTCTACAGGCACCTGTACCCACTTGCACATACCTATCTACTTGTGCACATACACACGCACACACACACACACACATAAAATAAAAAAAGTATTTTGAAAGTACCATTGGTTCTACTGAAGTCCAGGATATGAAAGATGGCCTCCATGGTGTCTCCGTATCAGGGGAATAGATTCATTTTTTGGCTCCCTCTTCACTGGTTTTATATTAGTGAAGGAAGCAGACATCTCAGGTTCAATGCCCACACTCCAAAGGTCCAGGACTGTGACTCCATCCCAGGGTTAACTCTGTCCACACTCACGGATAGCAGCAGCCTCGGGCTCCCCTCCCCTCGTGTAACTCATTCTAAAGATGCTTACAGAACTCTATAGGGGTGAGTTTCAGGCTCCCTTGAGCACATCAAAAAGACCAACAATCCCTCCAAATCACAAGAGCATTTCAGACACAGGCTCCAGGGACTTTGTTAAAATGCACAGGGCTTCATGCTTTACTTGTCGGCCTCCTTTGAAAACAGCCGGAAACCTTGCAGCCACCCAGAATAGAACTCTTTGACAAGAACTCAGTCATTCACTTTACCACCTCTCCTAAACTGAATTGCTGCTATAGTTTTCATTGTGCCTGTGGATGTGTGGGGGGTGCACATGGCCGAGGAACCATCCTACCTCTGCCTCCCCAGCACTGGGATGACAAGTGTATGCCTCCCACCAGCTTTCTTAGGTAGGTTCTAGGGTCAAACCAGGACCTCATGCTTGCACAATGAGCACTCTACCAACTGAGCCTTCTCCTGGCTCTATATTGTCTAAAGACTGATAAGCCCAAACTACTATTACCATGGCCAAGCCTCCCACAGATTTCCTGTGGACTCAGAGGCATCTGGGGAGATCCTGGCCCATGTCCAGTCATCTCAGACTCTGCCCAGCTCACGTCCCTTCCATCACCACATTGCTCTGAAGTATTAGTGTTTGGTGATTCTGCATTAAAATCCAAGAGTAAGACAAGGAAATCCCAGCAAGTTATAACTTGGGTAGCTTTTTTTTTAACACTTCTTTACAACAGATTATTTTATCATTTTAGAAATTATGCCTGTGTGTGGATGTGTGCACATGAGTGCAGGTACCCGAGGATGCCCAGGGTATCATTTTCTGGAGCTGCAGTTCCAGGCAGTGGAACTTGTGAGTCACCTGACATAGGAACTGAACTTGGGTCTTTTGCAACACCAGTGCATTTTCTTAACTGCTGAGCCAGCCCTCCTGCCTCCTAGGATGAATTTCTCATTGTCACTTGTATTTCAGACAGGTTTCACACTTCAAAATAATAAGCACCAGTGTATGCTTTAGATGCCATTATTAGGGAGACTAGCAAGTCGCACTTGGCAGTTACCATGTCAGTCAGCACTAGGAAGAACCAAGGCAATTGCTTCAATTATCAGTTATTAGCTTTTTGCTCCCAATCTCTTTTTGCTTTAAATCTGTCACAGACCTACATCAAACACATGCTGATATCCTCTGCCTTCAGATCCTTCAAAGAAAAGTCTCCCTGACAAAATTTAAAGAAAATAAAGAAATGCTTCCAATATCTTATATGTTTGTTTTCCATAAATTGTGAACTAATTTCTGTCTTCCAGATAATAGGACCTTTCTCATTCTGCACAACAATGCTCTTGGGATGCAGGAGTGGCAGAGACAGCTACAGTGATGCTCTTGGGATGCAGAAGGGACAAGGACAGCCAAGGTGATGCTCTTGGCATGCAGGAGGGGCAGGGACGGCCACAGTGATGCTCTTGGGATGCAGGAAGGACAGGGATGGCCACAGTGATGCTCTTGGGATGCAGGAGCAACAGGGACAACCGACTACATTCCTAGGGGTGAAGTTCCTCTTGACTCTGCTTTTGCATTCTGTTCCCTTTCCTGGGACTCTGTGTGATGCTGGGGTCTGACCACGGTGGGTGCAAGGGAGCTCCTGTTCACCCACTGATCTCCCTGAGGCTGGCAGAGCAAGACAGACAGTCCCTTATTCCTTCCCTTCCTCCCCCTCTGCCCGTCAGTGGGATGATGGCAGGTGGAGGAGGTGGGTGACAGAGTAGGAATTCAGATCACAACAGTGATCAGTGGTCATATTTTGGTGAGATTTCACATTTTTAAACTCTGCATATTGCAAGGCTCACATCAGCTTTATTTTTGAGAGAAATGAGAAAAGCTAAGTGATTCAAAAATATACAACCTTAATCATGGAATTTGACAAGTCTGGGAGATTTAGTCAGAGTTTCTGATGATGGCCTGAGTTGATCCATTTTTCCTTTGCAGAGAACTTACAAAACACAAAGGAAAAAATATATTCAAAGTGAGTGAATCATGTATCTGAGATTTCTTTGCATAAATAGTTGTTGCTTTGATAAAGCAGGAGTTACTTTTATGAAACAAAGAAAACTGTTAATTTTTCAATGAATCAAACTATAGCTAACCTTTAGGAAACTCTAGAATATGTAACAAGATACTTGTATAAAATATCTGTACTTAATAACTCTCTCTCTTTATGAGATGTGTGAAAAATGACTTGATATTCCATCTGAAAGGGGAAAGTGGTGCTTTGTGAAAGGCTAAGATCCGAATATAAATATAATTGTATTTTTCTCATTGTAGTTCTGAGGATTGAACCCAGGGCTGGGTGAGTACTGTCCCACTGAGCCACTGCATGTCAACCTGTTGGGTGTGTCCACAGGATGGGCCATGCTGGGTCATGAAGCAGATCTCTTGAGCCTGACTGTTGGGCTCTGCTACTCACTCTCACTAAGACTATGAGTAAGCTATTTCACACCCTTGTGCCTCAATTTCACTATCCATGGAGACAGCCAGAATAGCTCATTGTAAGGTTGCTGCGAATTACATCAGTGAATGCATACAGGTACTTAGGACACTGCTTAGTATAGAGCCACGGTCCCACAACCAGTTTCAGCTAGTCATATATATATAGTTCTTTGAGCCTAATTAAAATTGTAAGTTTCTTCCTGGGGCTGGGGATGCAGCTCAGAGCATACAGCACTTGCTCAGCATGCACAAGACTCTGATTCTATCTCAGCACCAGGAAAACCAGGAGCGGCGGTGCATGCCTGTCATGCCAGTACTCAGATGACAGGAGGGCCATAAGTTCAAGGTTATCTTCACCTGGAAACGAAGCTAAGGCCAGCCTAAGTGACAGAAGTCCCTGTCTCAGAAATCAAGTATTTGCTTACCAGTCTGGGGTCAATTTCTTCATTGAGGATGGCTTCGTTTTTGATGAGGGCCACTCGCTGAGCGAATCTGCAGGTAGAGATGGACTCCTAAGGAAAACCACAAAATAGCTTCTTAAAATATGATGGCATGGGAAGGCATTTCTCTCCAGATAAAACTCAATTTTCATTAATAAAAAAAAAGATACCTAAAGGGTAAGATGTCTGTAAAAACACACAATAAATAAATATGCCTCAAAATGAGGGAGTTTGGCCCTAAGATACTATTTTCTTTCTTTTTTTTAAATGGGTTTGGCTTGGTAAAATGACAAATGCCAAAAATATAGGCAATCCTGGGGTCCCAAGAGGCAGCTGGTATGTATTTGACTCTGTTAAACCAGAATGTCACATGCAAGTCATAACCATAGCAGGTACCATGACCCACAGGCATGCAAGACCACAAAGTAAATGTAATAAACCAAAGGAGAAGTTTTCACAGCATTCAGTGACTTGGTGCTTCTTGAGACGCACCATGAATGATTTGATTTCCTCTTTGGGGGAGTGTCTACATCCAAAACGTTAGTCTGACTCTTACAAGACCCCAGCTGGCTCTGTAGCCACCCTGGGAAGCCCTTCGGCAGTGTCCATCCCCTGGGAAGGCACCCAGGTGCCACCATGTGAGAGAGTCCAGGACCAGATCTCAGGATGGATCCAAGATAACCAGATCTCACCAGTTGGAGGAACTGAGCAAGAGCAGGTGAAGATTCCCTTCTCTCTTTCTCTCATCAGGCCTTTGGAGATGGGCAAACACGGCCTCTTCAAGCCATTCATCTGAGACGGGATCCCACATGGGTTGATTATAACACTGGCAAGGAAGGCAAAGCCACGGGCCCTGTGGTGTATTTACCTCTGAGGGCTACATGAGCACCGCACAAGAGGAGCAGACCCACCCGGGCCCCTCAACTCCACCTCACCACCCAGTGACAGGGAGAAGTACCGCGTACATCAATGTTCCTCTTCTCTAGAGAGAGAGTGGCGATCATAGTGGTCATGCAGTTCCCCCCGAGACTGTCTCTGAGCACGCTGGTCATCATGGAGTTCCTGTAAGGGATGTGTGTGCGGTGTTTTTCCGAAAGGGCAATGATGACCTGCGGGAAGGTGGGCAGATGATGGTGTTAGCCAGGCAGGAAAGGCTCACCGACAACGGACTTCAATAATGTGGATACAAAGGAGACAATAACTGAACACAGGAGACACCAAGACTTAGACATGGAACAGTCATTCTAACAAGAGCTTTCAATGTACAAATGATAGAAATGGGGCTGGAGAAGTGGTTCAGTGGTTAGAGCACTTGCTACTCCTCCAGAGGACCGAGTTGGATTCCTCGCACCTACACGGAGTGGCTCACAACTGCCTGTGACTCCTGTTCCAGGGATTCTAAAACCCTCTCCTGGCCTCCCAGCACCTGCAGGAAGAGTGAGCATCATGGCTGCTGATGAATCATCAATTAAGCATCTCACTATCCTCCCAACTTTGAACCTCTTTCATAAGATACGTTAATATTCATTACTGTTCTAGGGAACATTGATGTGAGTAACATAAAGAATATGCTTATAAAGCTTCCTGGTGATATTAGTGTACTCACTTTTGGTTGCAAGTTACAGAAAATGTAAGTCACACTGGTCTCAGTCAGGAGGAATGGAAATAGGAAAGCTCTTTGCTACATAAAGGTTAGTGGGTTCATGTTCCCATCTCTAAGGTAGCCTCCTCCTTGGTAGCTGCCAAACACCCTAATGCTATATACTTCTTTATTCACAAGTTACATGAGAACAGACTTCTTTTCTCTCATCCTGAGCTTCCCTAGGGAGCATCTTGGTCCCCATTAGACCTGTGGGTTGATGGCTTCAGCCAGAGGCAGGCTCCAGCTTGCTTTGCAATAAGGATCTAATCCTTAGAGCTGGAAGGGCTTCAGGTGCTGCCCACCAGAATGGACATCCCAACATCCTCTCCATGAAGGGATCTAAAATTGCTAGAGAAAGCAATTAAACATCAAAGTGGGACTATGGTCTTAAAAATGTATGTTCCTGTGACCCCAACACCAGTGGACATAGAGACAGGTGGGTCCCAGGAGCTCATTTGCCAGCCAGCCTAGCCTAGCCAAGTGGTGAGCTTCTGTTTCAGTGAGACACCCTGTTTCAGGGCAGGGGTGAGATACCCCATTTCAAGGCAGCAAGATGGAGAAGATAGAAGACACCCAGTATCTTCTTCTGCTCCACATGTGCACAAATCACATGCATGTATCACACAGGCACATACACAAAGATCATCACACACACATACACAAAGATCATCACACACATGCACATACACAAAGATCATCACACACACATGCACATACACAAAGATCATCACACACACATGCACATACACACACACAAAGATCATCACACACACACACACACACGCACATACACAAAGATCATCACACACATGCACATACACAAAGATCATCACACACACATGCACATACACAAAAATCATCACACACACATGCACATACACACACACAAAGATCATCACACACACACACACACACGCACATACACAAAGATCATCACACACACACACACACACACACACACACACACACACACACACATGCACATACACAAAGATCTGGAGAGCACTTCTGGGGAGCTATTAAACAGGAGGCACTCAGTGCTGTGGCAGTATTCAGGAGAGTCTGCTCTCGGTGTAGGCCTGGCCCATTTCCTTGAGAGAGGACCCTGAGAAGGTCTCTTGGAGCACCACGGTGAGTCTAGACCACATGGAGTAGATCTGAAGAGTGACCCAGAGAAGGAATGTGCTGTTGGCACACAGAGGGGAGTGCTCCTTTCAGTGTTACAATGCGCTCCACATTGAAAGGCACAGGAGTGGGGAGGGGTCATAGGGGGTGTGTGTGTGTGTGTGTGTGTGTGTGTGTGTGTGTGTGTGTGCCTGCCACAGGACAACCTCTAGGATGTCATTTCTCAAGCTCTTCCCACCTTCTCTTTTTTTTATTTTTATTTTTCTGAGACAGGGTCTCTCATTGGCCTGGAACTCACCAATCAGGCGACTCCTGCTGGCCCGTGAGCCACAGGGATCCACCTGTTTCCACCTTCCAAATGCAGGATTTCAACTTTCTCACCAGGGCCCCCACCTCCCATTTGACATGGATTCTTGGGATTAAACTCAGATTCCCCAGCAGCATTTACGAACTGAGCTATTGCCCGAGTTCTGTATTAAATATTTTCCTTCCTTGGACATTGGCTTTTATTGGAGTGACATATAAGGCCTTCTTTGGGGTTTTGAGCAGAAAAGCCATAGGGTTCATGTGCAGTTTTAATTGTATGTATGTGTGTGTGTGTGTGTGTGTGTGTGTGTGTGTGTGTGTGCATACCTGTGCAATGGCATGTGTCTGATGTATACTTTTGAAGGTCTGATGCATTGTCTTTTTTTTTTTTTTTTTTTTGGTTTTTCGAGATAGGGTTTCTCTGTGTAGCTTTGCGCCTTTCCTGGAACTCACTCTGTAGACCAGGCTGGCCTCGAACTCGCAGAGATCCACCTGCCTCTGCCTCCTGAGTGCTGGGATTAAAGGCGTGTGCCACCACCGCCTGGCTATTTTTCTATTATCAGCTTGATACCGTATAAATTCTTATCCTAATAGTGAAATGTTTCATTGAGGCTTGCCCAGTAATTGTGTAAGACCAAAACTTATTATAAGCCACAGTCATCCTAGGGTCCCCCCTGCTATATAGCCTTTACCTCAACACCCAGCCATACCACTCTTGGGCATATACCCAAGGAATGCTCAATTATACCACAAAGATACATGATCAACTATGTTTATAGCAGCACTATTTGTAATAGCCAGAACCTGGAAACAACCTAGATGCCCATTAACTGAAGAATGGATTAAGAAAACGTGGTACATATACACAATGGAGTACTACTCAGCAGAGAAAAACAATGACAGCATGAAATTTGCAGGCAAATGGGTGGAACTAGAAAATATCATCCAGAAGGACAAACATGGTATGTACTCACTCATAAGTGGATTCTAGATATAAAGCAAAGAACAATCAGACTGCAACTCACAGAACCAGGGAGGCTATGTAGCAGGGGGGACCCTAGGATGTCTGTATTAAAATTTTAATCCTGTGCATGTCCGTGTGTGTGTGTGTGTGTGTGTGTGTGTGTGTGTGTGTGTGTGTGTGGTATATGTATTGGAGTGCAGGTACCCATGGAGGCCAGAGGCATTGGACCCTACACACAGAGTTAGAGGAGGTTGTGAGCTCAGGTCCTCAGAAGAGCAGTGTGTGTTTCTAATTACTGAACAATCTTTCAGCCCCCTTGGAATTTTTGTTATTGTTGTGTGTTTGTTTTGTAATGTTTACTCCTACCTTGAATTGCACATGTAAATACAATGGCAAAATACTCCTTACAGCACTCTATTAGTAAGAGAGAATGGAACTTCACACCACACTTAGTGATACCGTCAAGACCTAGAAACTCTGCTGGTATCCATAATTCAGCTACTTGATGGATTAAGAGGTTTGCTTTTTTCCTTATTTTTAAAAGGCTTGATTTTATTTTTATTTATTTATGTGTATTTGTGTTAGTGTGTCTGTGTGTGTGCATGTGCGTGTGTGCATGAGTGTGTGCGTGTGTGTGTGTGTCTCTGTGCATGTGTGTGTGTGTGTCTGTGTGCAAGTGCGCACGCGCGTGTGTGTATATGTGTGTGTGTGCGTGTGTGTGTGTCTGTGTGCATGCATGTGTGTGTGTCTGTGTGCAAGTGCGCACGTGCGTGCGTGTGTGTGTGTGTGTGTGTGTGTGTGTGTGTGTGTGCATGTGTGCACATACATGCAGGTGCCCATGGAAGTCAGAAGAAGGCATCAGACGCCCTGGAGCCGTATTTGCAGGCAGCTCTCAGCTACCTGACCTGGGTGCTGGAAACTGAACTCGGGTCTTCTACAAGAGCAGCGAGCGTCTTAACCACAGAGCTGTCTCTACAGCCTCCCTCCAAGGGAGATTTTCTTTTAAAGACCTCAGAAGAGTACAGAAAAACATCTTTGGGAAACCAGCCGAGCTGGGGTGCAGCTATGACTGGAGCTGGCCCAGCACCTTCACTCTTGAGCACAGTGTGACCGAAGCTCACTTGGCGGGAGCCACGTGGGCTGTGAGACTGGCTGATGGCTGACTGCAACCCCAGTTGATTTCTGACGGGCTGAGGAGTAAACACTGCTTCCCTGCGGTTTCCCACTTGCTGTCTGGGCTGATAGAGACCTCAGGTCACCCCCAGGGCACTTGTGGAGGTTTCCGGTTAGCATGAGTACATGCGCTGTCCTTCCTTCTCCTCATACGAACTCGGGCTCTGGGCTAAGGGGTACCCTGTTATTGTGGCTTAAAGTGTTTTTGAGGAAACGCTTTGGAAAAAGTGCTGCATGCATAAAGAGAACTCCAAAACCAACAATATTCTGGCACACTGAATATTAATCACTTAAAAATGGAGAGTCAGTGAACTCAGGCTGGCTGAGTTCTAGCAGGTGTGAGGGCTCTCCAATATGACCAGCAGGACAACTATAATTCTGTGAGAAATTTCTAAACCAATGCAAGTCAATCAATGCACAGCAGCTGAGCAGACTAGTCCCTTTTCTACACCTGTCTTTTATATTGAAACTCATAGAGAAAGGGAGTGATTAACTATCACCACTTATATGGAGTCTATTACGGTGTTTATCTGACTATATGTAGGTATTAGTTCTGTCCCAGTTAGCTTTAGCTGTCAACCTGACACAGCCTAGAGTCACCTGAGGAGAGAGTCTCCATTCAGGGTTTGCCCAGATCAGATTGGCCTGTGCACTTATCTGGGGAGGGGGACTGTCTTGACTGGTAATTAGTGTAGCAGGGCCCAGCCCACTGTGGGCGGCACCACACCCTGGCCAGGTGCTCCAGGGCTAAGACTGGGGCTGTGAGTGAGCCAGCAAGCAGAGTTCCTTTGTGATTTCTTCTTCCAGTTCCTTCTCAATGATGAGCTGCAACCTGGAAGTTAAAACACACCTTTTCTTCCCCTAAGTTGCTTTTGATCACGGTGCTCGTCACAGAAACGGAAATCAAGAGAACAGGTTCCTATGCTTTGCTGGTTCCATGACACACAGCTTGTTCTCAGGCAGCAATCTACCCCACTGCCCAACACAACCCACAGCTTCCAGTGGAGACTCGGTCGCTATCTACTGAGTGGATGGATGAGCTAGTTACACTAAGTTGTTTTATACTCCCAGTCTCTTTAGCCACCTCATAAAATATACAGAGAGATAATTTGGCCATAAATGTCCATGAGTTATGCGATTTCATTAATTATCTCCTCTCTCTCTTTTTTTTTGTTTTTTTTCTCCTCTCTCTTTTCATTGTTCTTACTGTTGTGAGTGCTCTGCTTCTCTCTCTTTCTTTCTGAATGTAATTCTCTTCTGCCCTCCCACCTGCTCACCAGCAGCTCTTCCCAGCCTGCCTAAACCCTAAGGTCCAGGACCATGTCTGCAGCCTCCCATACCCTGTTTTCGTTCCCTCTCTTGCTAGTATCTTTTCTCCCCCGTGACCTTATGCCAAGCCTCCTCCTTGCCTGCGAAGGCACTTGGGTCTAAGAGAAAATAGCTAACAGCTGTCCTGATGTGGTGGGTGGAAAGGAAACAGACTGTTGAGGGCCAGTGACACATGAATGACATTTAGCCCGAAGTGAATAGTCCTCTGGGCCGGGGCGAGTTGCCGATGTGCTCAGGGCTCCAAGGACCTGACCTGCTCTACCCCACCCTTGCCTTGCTCCCGCCCACTCATTCTCCATTTCAGAGGCATCATTGACTCATGCTCCCTCAGTCTCAGCCCAGTTTTCCTCGCCCCTTTCCTTGCTTCTCACGGTTCCCACCTGAGGTGCAGCCATGCTCTTATGGTAATGGCCCCTGCTTCAGACCAGCAGCCTCAGGGCAGGGCTCTTTCCAAGCCCCTGAGCACCGTATAGACCTGCCTTACTCACACTTCAGTTGCTGTGACAAAATATCCTGAAACAAAGCAACTTGGGGGAGAAAAGGCTTATTTTAGTTTGTAACTCCAGATTACAGTCTGCCATTGGGGGAAGTCAAGGTAGAAACTTCAAATAGCTGGTCACTTAACATCTATAGTCAAAAGCAGAGAGAAATGAAAGAGCATGTGCTCAGTTGCTGAGCATCCATAGTCAAGCGCAGAGGGAAATGAACGAACACATGCTTGCTCGTGCTCAGCTTGATTTCTCCACTTCATATAGTCCAAGACTCCTTGCCAAGGGAATAGTGCTACCCACAATGGGCTAGGTCACCCCAGATTAATGAAATTAATGAAGACAATCCCCAACAGACATGTCCATGGGACAACCCAATGTAGACCATCCTTCCTTGAGCCTTTCTTCCCAGGTGACTCCCAGCTGGGTCAAGCTAACAAAGCTGACCCTCATAAGATCATCATCAATGTTTGCTAGATAAGTAATTCATGAGAAAAGAAGGGCCACACAGGCATCATGAATGTTCACAAGGACTGTAAAGTGAAGAGGTGTGAGGAGTGGAGTAATTCTAGTGACAGACAGGAATTTGAGGAGATTGTGGAAAGAGAAGGAATTGGATGTGGGGCAGGATGTTTCTCCTGAGTGATTACAATTGGTAGAAAGTTTGATTCAGCTGAAGAATGTAATTTTGTATGAACAGATGGACACAATGGGAATTAAAACCATGCTGCCATCTGAACACATAGACACATTTCTTTGAAATAAGGCAATTTGAATACAGCCCATTATGGGCATATATCATTGTTCCAGTAAATGTCCTATTAAGCAAAAAGCTCCATCAGTATAAGTGGTGTGGAATATTTGAGCGAAAGCGCTTAGAGCTGATGATTCTTGTCAGAAGCACTGAAATGGCCAATGCCTGCAGGCCCTCATCTAAGGCTGCATTCCTGAGGTTGTCAGGAATGCAGCTAATCATGTCCTCTCATTCAGGTGGGTTCCTCCAGCATGGCCTCTTCAGTCATGCGACTATTCAGAAGCATCAAGACACTAATCTCAAGGTTTCCTTAGGCACTAAAGAAAAGAGACTTTTTATTGTCATTGTTATCCTCGATCTTTTAGGCTAAACATTCAAGAACAAGAAAGGAACACAGGAAATCCTCCATCCAATCTGTTCATTTTACAGATGGGGTAGAAGATTCATCTAGCTAAATTTGGTGAGTTTTCTTTGCTCTCAGAGTCAGATTCAAAAGTTACAAGTAGAGCAACTAGTGGGTTGGGTGGTGGTCAGGAGGGAGTGTGGGGGGCTCAAGACAAGCCAAGGCTAAGAGACCCACCAGAGCAGGAAAACACTGACCAGATGAAGTTACCAGAAGCTGGCAAAATACTGCTCATCTCTGAGTTACATTCTCAGGGGTGACTCGAGACAAATTTCTAAACGGTCTTATTAAATAATAAACACAGAGCCAAATATAGGGGTGAAAGCCTTAGATCAGGGAAATAGGGTAGCTACCAACCAACCTTACCTCACCAGCTCTGCAGCTCCCAAAAGTGAGCTACTTCCTGTCTACCCGTGCCTTTATTGCTGTTCTGCCCTCTCATTGGCTCTTAGCCCAGCTACTTCACTTCCTTGTCACTGTCTGTCTATACAGACCTCCAGGTCTCTATGGTTGGTACTGGGATTAAAGGCATGTGTCACCAGGCTTGGCTCTGTTCCCTAGTGTGGCCTTGAACACACAGAGACCCTGCCAGCCATATGATCGAATTAAGGGCGCTGCTACCGCTGCCTGACCTTTGTGTTTACTTAAAATGGCTTCCTATTTCCTCTGATCTCCAGGCAAACTTTATTTATTAACATACAAATAAAATATCACCACAGGTGACCTCTGACCTCTGAGCTGGGGAAGCAACAAACAAAACAGGCAGCAGGGACCACTTGCAGTGGGATTCAGGTCCAGCACTCATTTTACAATATAGATAAAAAGGCAACAGTACCCCTCCCCTTTTTCCAAAGTAACAAAAACGATTGTGTGCTGAGATCAAATCTTCACCCTGTTACTAGGTGAGTGACCCTGGGGTGATGTTTGCAATCTGTAAAATGGAGAAGTTAACACTTCCCACCTACAAAACACTAGTAGATACATGGATGTTCACAGGAGTGCTACTCACAATAGCCGAGGGACAGATGCAGCCCACTGACTTTGAAGGGATCAGTGCAGAAACAAATTGGAGGGGCTTGTATGTATGCACACGCTCAAATCCCAGGAGGGAATGGAACAGTGTTACATGCTACCATGTGGAGGGACCATGGAATCATTATGTATCTCTCCCAAGACAGCTACCAAAGGACACACATGGAGTGATTCCACCTGTGGCATATGGAGTAGGCAAAGTCAGAGAGACCAAAAGGCTAAAAAGAAAAAGGTACAAGGAGTGTTCATATTCCATAGGTCCAGAGCTTTTGGTTGGGATCATGAAGAATTCTAGGAATGGATAATGACTGGTTGCACATTGTTTGGGAATGAACTTCATTCCCATTGAACTCTCCACTTAAAAAAATGATCAAAAACTGGGACCACACACACACACACACACACACACACACACACACACACACACACACAGAATCTGTTTTTAAAACTATGAAAAAGATAAATGCTGTTATGCATATTTCACCATAATTAAAAAACAAACCAACAGAGACTAGAAATGTCTGCCATACGTACATGCAGCACACGTAGGTGCAACTGATCTCGCTCCACCCAGTTTACCTGCTCCAGGTAATGCAGTGACAAGTTGATGTACTTGGCCTCTGTCAGAAGCAGACCTCCGACTCCAGTCTTTGCAACACGCTCTGACCCAGCCAGGTCAACCAAATGGAGCTTAGCATGTCTGACGGTAGCAGATCCTGGCTCCTTGCTGGTCAAGTGAACCGTGAAAATACAGTGTGATCGGGTTGAAGCTTGGTTCATAGGAGTCTAGAAAAGAAGAAATTGCAAAAGTATAATAATTTGACTTGAGAACCTTCCAAGAGTATCAAAAGATTTTTAGATTTTAGATTGTATTGTGTGCCCATGAAGCCAACACTCACGGATGAACACCTCAATGTCTGGTCTCTTCAGCGTGGTGTTACCTGCAGGGTGACTGGTAACAAATGTGGATGGACTGTTCAGATGGAGACAAAAGCACCCTACTGGGATAAATATGGAGTCTTTGGAGGATAGGGCAGTGGCTCAATTGGTAAAGACCTACAGTGTGAACATGAGACCCGAGCTTGGATTCCCAGAACCTATGTGGAAAAGCCTGACGAGGTTGTGTACATCCATAACGCTAACACAGGGTGGAGGTGGGGCAGAGACAGGTCGATTTCCAGGAGTTCACTGGCTGTAGAGTTTAACACATTAGTGAGAGATCCTATCTCAAAAGATAGATAGGAGAGAAGATTGAGAAAGAGACCCAGTGTTAACATCTGGCTACCAAATGCACAGGCACAGGACAACACACACACACACACACACACACACACACACACACACACACACACACACACGCACGCACGCATGCACGCACGCATGCATACATACACACACACATACAGAGAGAGAGAGAAAGACATATAGACATACAGACATACAAAGACAGAGACAGATACACACACACACACACACACACACAAAGAGAGAGAGAGAGAGAGAGAGAGAGAGAGAGAATGATATTAAGCTTCCGTCCCAGATGAGAACTTTATTTCTTTATCCGACTACAATGCATACTTTAACCCAACCTCAGGGAAAAGCTTAATGATACCATTGTGGAAAGAGTGGTAGGAATGTGAGTTCTGGGACACTTCATTATCTCAATTGCAAACCCAATCCACAGCAAGGAGGCACAACATCACTTCTACATTCAACAAAGAGCTAGAAAATTCAACCAATATAATAATCCAAAATTAAACAGAAGGCGCAAGTAGAGGGAAAGGGGGAACAAGAATTCTATCGTGCATTGAAACTAGGGAGATTTGTCTAGAAAATGCAAGAGTATCTACAACCGAATTGGTGAGAAGCAGGAGTCTGGGCTGGAGAAACAGCTCGGCAAGAGCACTGCCCGAGGACCTGAGTCTGAATCCCCAGCACCCACACAAGCCAGGTCGGTAGAAGACGCCTGTCTTCCCATTGCTCCTAAGGCAATGGGAGGTTGGAGAAGAGGCTCATGGGAGATCGTGAGCCAGCTAGCCTGGTGTGCAGCAGGAGAATGGAAAGAGCCGGTCTGACACAAAACGGAAAGTAGGTGTCAGACCCTGACCACCATACTTGTTTCCACACTCACAGATGAGAGTGTACTCACACATATACGCACATACTACACACATACACACACACATGAGGAAAAGGATAGATAAAAAAGTTTACTGGGTTTGCAAGATCAAAATGTGAAATCAATTAAGTTCTAATAGCCTAATAAGAATTTATCAGGAAACATAATTATTCTGAAGGGCAAAAACGACAATGAAATTATAGAGATTTATTACATAAGAACACTGATAGATGAAGACACCTGATGGTGACCTCTGGTTCCTACACATGCACACATAGGTGAGCACACCTCACATATGAATGCATACACATACACACACACACACACACACACACACACACACACACACACACACACACACATACACACACGAACATGCAGGTGAGTACACCCCATACACGAATGCATATATACATACACACATGAACACACCTTCACATATGAATGCATACATACATACATGCATGCATTCACCACATACACATGCATGTGCTTGTTCATACCACACAAACACACAGTAAAACAAAATAAATTGAGGATCACTTTTGATACTGTGCATACAAATAAATAACAGAATGGACTAAATGCTTATATATAACAAACAAGCAATTTTGACACCAAGACAAGAAAATACATGAGCATATTGTAATCCTTCCAAAGTGATAATTAATACTTTAAAATATCAACAAGAAAAAAAAAACTTGGGATAAATGAGAAAGGGAACTAGATAACTCAAAGAAATCAGAAAAACACTTAATGAGCATTAGAAAACCTGCTCAAAGTTATAAACCCTGAGTGTCAACCTTAGAACTATGACGATAATTATTCCATGCCCACCAGGCTGCGGCAACACAAAACAAAGGCTAAGAAAATAAGGGCTGGTGGAGACACAAAGACATGGAAGTTTTCACAAACTGCTGAGGGAAATACAAATTAAGAGATTTAAAAAAGAAATTTAGCAATATGTTGTAATACTGCAAATGCAAAATCCCTATGACATAGTAATAAAATACTATGTGCATTTCCTAGAGAGAAGTCATGAGAAGGTGTACCAGGAGATACATAAATTAGAACAGTAGATGCAGTGTCCCGAGATAACAAGAAATTGGTGCCGATGTATAGCCCAAATGGCCAACTGTGACAGAGGAGATAAACTAGAACTTAAAATGTAGTGGCCTTCAGAAAAGATGGTCATAAACGATGATGCATTTATAAAATAGAAGTTGGAGGAAAAATAAAAAGTTAAGAATGATATGAATGCTGTGATGGAATTTACCTAATCATAATACTGGCTCTCTCAACTATTTATACAACTATACCTTATGCTATTAAACAGGAAGTCATGAGTCAGGAGGCTACAGGGAATTAATGATGGTGGTGGCCTTCTACAAAGATGGAAGAGAAAGGCCAACAAAGGGACTCATAGTATCGGCTGTCAACTTGACAGTCTAGAATCACCCGGCCAGGGCTGTGGGGAATCATCATGATGACATTAATAGGCGTGGGAAAAGCCAGCTGTGGGCAGGATCATTTCCCAGGCAAGGGATCCTGGACTGTGTAAGACAGAGTCAGGCATCGACAAGCAAGCATTCCCCCCAACTCCTGTATGCAGCTGCCTTGAGCTCCCGCTCCCATGACTCCCCTGCCATGATGGATTGAGCTTAGAACTGTGAGCTAGAGTAGCCTCTTTCTCCCCTGAGCTGCTTTTTTTGAGTATTTGATCACAGCAACAGATAGAAAATTGGTCCTGAGAAGTGGGGGCATTGGTACGTAAACCTGATTGTGGTCCTTAGGCCTTTGAAAGTGAAAGCACTTTTTGGGGCAGGAAAGTGCAGGAGTTGTAAACTCTGGGCTAGAAATGCCCTAGAATGCTGGAAGAAGAGCTTGGAGGGTCATTACAGGGGGGCTCAGAAGACAAGAATGTCGAGAGAGATGTGGATGGGGAGACCTGGCTCCTGAGCGTTCAGGGGACACAAGGACTCTGTCAGGGACTGGATTAATGCTGCTGCTTTTATTTAAAAATCACCAGAAGCAACTTCTGATTAGTGAAATCATCAGGAACTGGTAGTGCCATTCTCTATACTTTTGGGGGTTTATATTTTCTCTAGGAAAAGAATTAATATGATGTAAAAATGCAAGCAATTGAGTCAGTAGCATTGTGCTGTCAATAAAAAAAATAACCAGAATGTTCCAGACAAATATTCATGTGAATGAATTAAGAGCCATTCAGATCTGAACCAAAGAAATCCCAGTCTGGATACCCGTGCACACAGATGGAGGAACACACGTTGATGTGTTTTCAATCAGAAATTCTTTCTGTCGATATAAATTCTCGGTACACACCATGGTTGATTTACACGAACTAGCAAAATACACAGATGTCAAAATGCCAGCAGTAGGTTCGGAGGCTGCAGTTCAGTGAGTGAGTTAAACAGGCCGAGAGTTTGCCCGTCACTTCTCTCCACAACGACTAGACCCAAAGCCAGGCAGCTTGTGATTTCTCTTTTCTTTCCTGCTGAAGTGGGTCAGCAAATAGCCGTGCGTGTAAAACCACAGACTCAAATATAGAGGCTGACTGGAGGTGATCTGGAAGTGGCTGAAGTTATTTGTGGAACCTAAACACAGGTTTCACTTCATTGTTGTGTGACGATAAATTCTACGGCCTGAACCGGAAGTCAGTTAACAGGTGACGTGAAAAAAAGTCATACAAAGCATGTCAACAGCTGCTTCTGCCTTCCAAGCTGCTGCTGCTGAAACAGCAACTAAGCTGAGGCCTTTAATGGGAATTGGAAGCATGTGCCCATTTCAAAGGAATAAGAGATTCACACACACAAAAAGCACATTTCTGGAGCTTGCAATTAAGCACAGTAATATGTTGTAGGAATCCATGGCCGAGTTCTGTAATGTCTCATAAATACTCTCTACATGACGTAGCTGTTGGTGTCCTCTTAGATAAATTTTCCTCAGACCTCAGACAATGTTCCTCATGTGGTGCTGTGTCATTGGATGTGCCCATGTCTGCTGTCTTTAGTGAAGTCTCTATGCCTCGTGGGCATGCCCATTCCCTTGTCCTTTTAAAGGTAAAAAAAAAAAAAAAAAAAAAAGTATTTGAATGTTTCTGAAATTGCCTGAGAACAGATGGCACCATTTAGGCAGATTCAATTCAAAACTGAGCACATGTTTTAAGCAAATGTGTTCTTGGCACTCGCCTGTGCCTTTGGAAAAATTCTCAGGATGATTAATCATCTGCATGAAGAGAGCGTTTGCGTTTTGTGTCAGTCTTTGTAGATAGCTATGCTAGGTGGCACAGAGAGTAACGGAAAATAAGACCTGGCCGTGGACCCCGAGGAACTTGTAATCTAGTCAGAAATGAGAGCCCAGGTGTGTGAAATGGGAGCAAACTTGAGGTGAGGAAGAGGCGGCAGAGTGTCTAGCAGAGGAAGTGGTCTGGGCAGGGGTGGTGGCTCAGTGGGGAAAGCATGGTCACGTGTTAGGGTTTCCTTTCTACTGCTGTAACAAACAGTCTGGACAAGAGCCACAGAGGGAAGAAGGGGTTTCCTCAGCTAATTTCGTGTTAGAGAAGTCCCAGCGTTAGGAACTTGGTGCAGCTAGTCACATCCCGTCAAGAACAGAGAGAGGAAGACATGCACACTTGATGTTTGCTTGC